GGCGACGTTTAGTTTGACGACACGGTTGGCCTCGGCTCTAGGGATGGCGGTGGGACGGGGCCCAGGCCTGAACGGTTGTGATGCGCGTGATTGAATGGCTTGTGCGGAGGATGTGTCTAGTTGAACGACTTGTGCGGGGGATGGTGTCTGACTGAACAACTTGTGCGGAGGATAGTGTCTTGACAAGAGGGAAGTTGTACGCTAGTCCTACTGCACGGAAAGAGAAAACTTTCCGTAAACTGGTCGGCCCGGCATTGATTCATGGTGACAGTCTTCGCGGATGGAATTTTTTCTCTAAAGCTAATGCTACGCCTTTTCCACAACTTCCTGGACTTTGTTCTCTACAGTGATTCCCGTAGCCTGATCGTTTTCGTGTCCCGAACAACAGACAGCAGCCCTCTCCTCCTGTAGCGTCTCATCCTCCCGTGAGCTCTCCTCCGGTACGTTCTCCTCCTCCGGTATCCTCTCCTCCTCCCGTACTCCCTCCTCCTCCCGTACGTTCTCCTCCCCCCGTACACTCTCCTCCACCCGTGAGCTTTTCTCCTCCCGTACCCTCTCCTCCTCTCGTACCCTCTCCTCCTCCGCCCTCGCCCTCTCCCCCTCGCGTACCTTCTCCTTCTCCCCCATCCACCCAACAAAAGCCTTAAGTTCCTTATCCCCCGGCCTCACCCTTTTCCACTCTTCCTCAACCCCCTCCCCAACCCCCCTCAACCGATCCCTACAAAACATCCGCCAGCTATCCCACGCATACGGCCCGAGGCCAGGTAAATGCCCCACCTCCCACGCCCCCTCCCTCCCATCCTCCTCCTCATCACCCAACACCTCCCCCGGGGCTATATCCCTCCCCGCCCCGCGATACGGATAATCTAGCGTCCGATACCTGCGCCCTCGCGTCGGGGGGTTGGTAATCCATGCCTGCGCTAGGGCGATCAAGGTGCGAGCACGGGCATTCTGGAGGCCGAGGGCGGAGAGCGTGAGGGCGAGGCTGGTTTCTGAGGTGCTGGCGAGGGATGAGGGGGTAGGGTGGTGCGCGATTAACGAACGGAAGAGCGGGAGGCCGCGGGATGCGTGGGTCTTGTTTAGCAAGACGCAGGCAATGAGGAGAGCGAAAGGGTCGGTTGCGAGTTCTTCTTGGATCAGACCGAAGGTTTGGGATGTGAGCGGGGGGACGGAGATGATTGAAATGGTGCCAGGTAAGGGGCGTTCCAAAGGGAAATAGACAGAGCGTTGGCCCGTGGTACGCTTCTTTCGAGGCGATGGCGTTGGGGTCCGTTTGTCTGGGGGCGGAGGAGAGGGATATAGCGGGATATCGGAATCCATTGGAAACGGGATCCAAAGAGCGGCTGGAGTTGGATTGTAGAAATCGTGATTGTTGTATGTTTTTTGCTAAGGATCTGACGGCTTGGTGGGGATAGGAGATGTTGGCACGATTCGACGGGTGGCTCGCGCGGGAGAATGGAGATCGGAGTGGACTGGCGGGCGATTTGTAGGTACACTCGTGGTCCGACAGAGCAGGTGATTTCGTCCATGGTCTGGTGTTTGTACATTTCGCGGCATTTCTAGTAGGCTTTGTTAACATGAATATGGAGTAGTTGCTACATGCTTCCAGTTAGGATTAACGCCTATCGCAACGCTCAGCCTTACCCCACCGCCCCTTGCCGTCCTTAAACATCTTCGTACATGCCGACTTCAAAGAACAGTGGACATGAAGATGTATGACGTCAAGATCCTCCCAAATGCATCCCTTACTCGTACCCCGGAACAACCTTCCTCCACCCTATATCAGCGCCTTTAATTCAACTTCGAACACGAACACCAACCCTATTCTAGGGCTGAACATGGAAATCCTCCACCAGGCACCGCATCGCCCTGATGCCACGACGATCTTCCGCCCGTCACAGCAGCCCATCAGCCAAACAGCTACAACGTAAAATCTTCAATCCCTATTTCCACATGCCAGCAAGCTACCCATATCCCGCAGCATCTGCCTCTACCTATCTATATTCGCGAAATGAACCGGCCTACAAGATATTACCCCGCCCCGCCTTCCCCGGGTCCCCAGCATACATCCGTTCCCGTGCTCCAACAGCAGCCCTTTTTAGCAAACCGCCGCCCATCAGAATAAACGTAGCATAAACCTGAAACCCGCCCTCACCCTCTCGGTATCCAAGCCGGTACTTTCACCTCACACAAGCCCAACTCATAAAACTCCTTCCGCCCCGAGAATTAGGTATCCTGCACCCCAGCATCGGCCACCCCAGCGTCCACGATGACGCTACTTTCCGCGCTCCTGCTGGCTGCGAGCCTCAGCCTCGCCACTGGCTCGCCAGTCGTGGACGAGCACGGCCTGGAATACCACACCCATGAGGCGCGCCAGGCGAACCTCCCGCTGCTCAAGTTGCCGTATGCGACATATCAGGCTGCGGAGTATAGGGTGAAGGATGATGCGCGTCCTCCCCCAATAACCCACCACCCCGCTAACCCACGTAGATCTACACCTTCCGCAACATCCGCTACGCCGCCCCGCCCGTCGGGCCCCTCCGCTGGGCCAAACCCGCCCCTCCACCCAATAGCACCACCATCCAAAAAGGCGACGCCGGGGGGACATGTTTCCAGTCCATGCCCGCCTCCATGCTCACCGTCGCGCTGACGGGAGGTCTGGGCGGGTTAGCCAGCAGCGGCGACGGGGGATTTCTCGAAAGCCTGATGGGCGCGGCGTTGCCGCTTGTGGGCGGGTTGTTGCAAGGTAGTCCGGCCCTAACGCAGTTCGTCATGGGTCAGGTCGCGAAGACGGATCTGGGGAAAGCGATGGGCGGGGCGGCAAGTAGTGAGGATTGTTTGTTTCTGGATGTTGTGGTGCCCGGGAAGGTGTTAAGGGGGAAGGAGAAGGTCCCAGTTGTGAATTGGATTTATGGGGGGGCGTATATTGTGGGGAGTAAGGATGGGATGTATGATGGGAATCCGTTGGTGAGGCAGAGCAATGGGAGTGTGGTGTATGTGGTTGGGAATTACCGGGTATGTTGTCACTCCTGGCGGAGCGTGTGCGCATGGCTGACAACCCAGCTCGGCGCCTTCGGCTTCCTAGGCGGGCGCACCGTCGCGAAGAGCGGCGGGACCCCGAACGCAGGCTTCTGGGACCAGCGCGCCGTGCTGCAGTGGATCCAGCAGCACATCCACCTCGTCAACGGCGACAGCAGCAACGTCTCCCTGTGGGGCGAGTCAGCGGGCGCCGGGTCCATCCTACATCACCTGGTCGCCTTCGGCGGGAAGGAGAAGCCGCTGTTCAACAAGGCGGTCATCCAGTCCCCGGCTAATAATCCCCAGCCTGATATCGATGGCGCGCTCGAGGAGCAGTATAGGCGCTTTGAAGACCTGGCCGGGTGTAAGGGGCAGGGCCTCGCGTGTCTCCGCGCGAAGGATGTTACCGCGCTGCGGGCCGCAGCCGATAAAATCATTGCTGAGGCACCGGTCGGGCAATTCGGCTTCGGGTGCGCCCCCCCCCCCCCTTCCCTCCCCTTAAACACCCAACTGACCCACCCAGCCCCGCCGTCGACAGCACCCTCATCCGCCAACTCCCTGACCTGGAACTCGCCTCCGGGAACCACGTCCCGCTCACCAGTCTCATCATCACGCACGTCAGCGACGAAGCGTCCGCTTTCGTCCCCAGCACCATAAAAACAAACACCACGTTCTTCCGCTCCACACTGGATGAAACATATGGGCGTAGAAGCCCCATCCCCGCCGCCGTCGAGAAGCGCTACCCGCCCCCTGGGCCCGGAAGTCCGTATGCAGACCAGGTCGCGCGGATGCAGGCCGTGATGCAAGCTGGTTTCTTCGCGTGCCATGCGTGGACGCTGGCGGCTGCGTACGCCGGGAAGGCGAAGACTTATGTTGCGGTGTATGGGCGAGGAAGCGGGAAACATGGGATGGATATCAAGGCGGATTTTTTCAACAGCTCGAAGCCGGCGCCGAGGGATGATCCGGGGTTCATGGAGTTTGCGCCCAAGTACCAGGATTACTTGCTTAGCCATGCGAGGACGGGGGATCCGAATAAGCTGCGCCAGGCGGGGAGCCCGGAGTGGCCGGTTGTGACAGTGGGAGAGAAGATGACCAATGTGCTGGAGGCGGGGAATAAGGGGTTTGCGGTGGGGAGCGACCCGGTGGTTAGTAAAGAGGAGTGCGGGTTTTGGGTCGATGTTTGGGCGGGCGCGACGAAGGCTGTTAAGGGTGTGCCCGCTGGGGGAGCGGTGGCTTCGAGTATTGTGCCCTGAGGAGGGGGATCGGGACGAGCGACGGGCGTACAATATGAGCGTGAAGGGTGCTCACCCGTACTTTAATCGTCAGACGTGATCGAGGATGGGTGCGCAAAGTCATGCTTGCCGACCTCATCCCACCTGGGTGAGGGAGCCTCAAGGAGAGAAATATCTTGAACGCATGATTCGACAACTCTGAGTACTTGTCTGTCGTTGACATAAACGCGAGCGTTTCCCCTCCAACCGGTGGGTCCTGTAACAAAATCAACTGTAACGGTATGGAAGGTCACCGACAGTGCCCACATTCGGTGTAGCTCACTAATGGAAGCAAGGCTTGAGAAGTGTAACAGGCGACTGTGTAAAGTGAAGATTGAGATTAAGATGAAGAGAGGAAGAGAGGAGCTCGAGACTAAATACACGATGATGCCAGGTATCCTCCAACGCTCCTTTCTGACATAACAACGCTCCTGCCTCGTGTCTACATCAGGATAGAGGATGGGAGGGTGAGGCGGTTCAAGGGCGAAGTTACACGGGATTCGGGGGTTGGAGATGATCCCAAGCCAGCACTTGCCACGCCCTTGATGGTTGCTGTAAACTCCGTGAAGCACTGAAGCAGCAGCACTTCATCCAATCCATCGTAGGAACCGGCCATAAGCCACTTGCACTGCACAGCTACCGCTACATAGTCTCTGACAGCCTCTCACCAAGGCCCAAGACTCGAAGTGAAAAGGTATCTAGCAAAAAAAAGGGCTCAACCGCGAGTCGAACGCGGGACCTCTCGCAATTTCCCTTTCGGGAAGCCCAGGTCAACTGGGGGGAGTTTTGAAGGCCCGAAGCGAGAATCATACCTCTAGACCATTGAGCCAAATGCTTTGATGACGTCGAACTGCGCATTCTGAAGCTTTGGGCGGCGGAATTGGGTGGAGTCGGCCGGAGGAAAAGATGATGATCCGGGGGGGTGGAGGGAGGGAAGGAGCGAGGGAGCGGGAAGGGAGGATTTATCTGCGCGCGACACGGCAGTTAGCAGAGCATGTCAAAGAGCGAACAAGAATCAAAACGTGTAAACCAGAAAACTCCATCCGGGAGAGAGATCTCACAGCCTCAGATGCCGTACTCTCAGCTTTGCTCCGAGGCAGCAAGGATACGATATCTACACCTCAGACACACCACACGAGCGCGGTAAATCAGCTCCCAGCTGACGGACGAGACCAACATGGCGTCTAGAGTTAAAAAGGAGCGTGTGAAGGAGAGGTTGCGAGGCTATTAGCAAAGGATCCAGAACGCATGGCCCAGAAACCCTCATCCAGAAAAAGCACCTTACGTCCTCAGACGCCGTGCTCTCAACGTTGTTCCAAGGCCACAAAAGCTGACATGGAAACAGCAGGCACGCCATCCGAGCGCGGTAACCCACCTCTCAACTCCCATATGAGACCAGCTCGACTTCCAGAGTTAACGCAAAGCATGTGAAGAAGAAGTCGTCAGGCTGTATCCGAACGGAACTGTCTGTCAACAGAAGCTGTCAGACGCTACGCTTTCAGTGTTACTCCATGGCCCAAAAGGAGCGATAGCTACGCATGAGAGCCACCATCCGGGTGCGGTAGCTCAGCTCTCAACCCCACCATGAGACTCATAAGGCTCCCGGAATTAACATAAGACATGTGAAAGGGACGTCTCAAGGCTGCACAGTATGAGTCAGCAGAGGCTTTTAATCATGAGAACGATAACCAGCGCAAAGACACATCGACACCGAAACCCACATCTGGGAACGGGGATCTCGCGAGCCTTGGAACCTCTCAATACCCAAGCGCAGCCGCTGCCATCTTTAACTCTCGTCCACGTCACTCTTCACCGAGCTCGCCCAGCCCGCACAAGGCTGCTAGCCACTCCAACTTATCTCCAGCGCAAAGCTCCCCGCCGGCGCTACCCCCACGCCACCCCACGCTGCCAGACCATCAAACCTGCCTCACACCCGCATACGCAGGCTACAAGCAGCAACAACCCGGCCAGATCGGCGAGCGAAAAGGGAACATGATCGCAGCTCGCGGCGGCGGGGCTTTCTTGTATGTACAGCAAGTTTTCGCGAGCTCGCGATCGCAGCCTGACCGGTCGCCCGCTCGACCACATGGTTATTGTATCGTCGTCTGACCAAGAATGATGATCGGAGGGGTAAGTAATGCGGCTCAAGTCTCCCGCATCTATGCGTTCCGCCTCCGCGGGTGCGGACGAGAAGCGGAGGGAGAGTGGAGAGGGGAGACCGTGGCACAGCAGCGCTTCCTCGCCACTCGCCCCGTCGACAAGGCTGAGACCGCGATCAGCAGTCCACTCGGCCAGTACCCCGCGCTGCGGGCCGTAGAGAGCGCGGCGGGGCGTCATAGGTGTGTGCTGCTGCTTCCCTGCCAATGCCCAACATGGCGGGAATGGAAGTTTCGTTGTTGCTCCTCAGCCTGGTGAGCCAATCTGAGGCCCGAAAACAGCCTTGAGGTTCCACTGCGGACTCAGGTTTTGATGTTTGAGCTGAGGTTGGGATGGTGAACGTGATCCCACCCCTCCACAAATCCCTTCTTGCCGATCCGTATTCGGCTTGCCAAGGGCTTCTCCGCTTTCCAGAAGCTAGTCACCGGCTGGGCTGGGGTCGATCGTGGAGGCAGTGGGGCGTACGCAACGTAGGATGGAGGGTCGAGGGCGTGGGAACCTGAGCTGCGTGCGTAATGAAACGGTCGTCTATGGTCGGTACAGTAGTTTGTACCGGTATGTCTCCAGAATGTCATCGCAGGGATGGTGCTCTGCTTCATCCTCGTGCCAATCCGCCCTATCCTCGCCACTACGGTGCCTAGAAACTGTACTGCGTAAGCAAGACGTCTTCAAAGAACTCTGAACCGTTCGCCTTGCCTATTCACGAGGACATAGCGCTAGAGTATTCCTGCAGTGCGGATGGCGAGTGGCGGAGTCGAAGTTCGCGACATCTGACCACCATGCGAACTGCGCCCCAATCAGCGCCTCCTACCATCCCTTGGTCGTAAATGTATACCGTACGACAGGCCGCTATCCATCCGCCGCCCGGTCAACGATGCCTCACGATGCACGCGGCGGATGTTAGGCTCCGATCGCACTTGACGGGTAAAAGAGCCGTTTTGATGCAGTCATGGCAGAAGAGCCGGTGTCAAGCAGCTGAGGGCGGCACCCTCTGCTGAACCCAGCGCATTCGTCGCTTCGGGCGCTGCGGCGGATGAGTTGGCAGTCAACACGCTGTGAATCATAGCTGCTGAAGCATTCGCCCTTATATACAGCCCATATACAGCCCTGAGTCCGCGCAGTGCATGCCAGCAAAGCATCGTGCGTTGGCCAACGGGACGGAGACGTGTTGTTCGCCCCCCTGGGGCGGTCAAAGGTGAAGGGGCGTGTCGGGCATCGCGGGACGCAAGTCTGCCTGATGGATTTCGTGCATATGCGGGCGATTATTCACCAGCCGCGCCCTTCGCACCCAGTCGTGAGGCTTGGGCAGGGTGCGAGGCTGTGCGGGGACATAAAGACATGGACTCGCAGATCGCGATCAAACTTCCTCTTCTTGCCATCGTCAGCGCATGAAAGTCACACCCAACACTGTGCGACATCCTGCGATGGATCCACTCATCGCTGACGTCCTCGGCGTTGCGAGCCGGTCGGCTTCGCTTTCGTCGCGCTTGTATCAGTTCTGCGCTGCTATCTCGAGCGGTGGTGGTGATATCACGGCTGTTGCTGAAGCGATTGTGCAAATGGCGCCGGTGCTACGTCAAGTTGCCTCTGTATTCTCTGCGGAAGCGGGGAAGCTGGCTACGGGAGAAGCACGTAACGCGCTCGGCAACCTCCTTACCTTGATCGAACGGACCTACGCTGAGCTCGAGCTGCTCGTTCCCGTGCGGCTTTTCGACAACGGCACCAATGGCGACGCCATCCGCGAGCAGCTCCACTGGAACGCCGTGTCAAAGGCGACGGGCCTGTACATCAAAGGGCTCCTAGACGCAGAGCGTCTGACGCTCACCGTCCTCGAACACACAATCCACACCGCGAAGATAACCACGTGGTCCCGGTGAGCATCATCCTCGCCACCACTTACCAATCCAATCCGCTAACACTCAGCAGGAACGCCGGCACATCACAGTCTCTCTCAGCCGTCACCTCCGAGCGCCTAAGTCTCCGCGCCCTCCTCACAGGCCAGCAACTCGCCCTCTTCCACGCCCGCAAGCTGCACCGCACCATCGAGCAAACAGCTTCAACAACCGCAATCCCAGCCAAGCACCGCAATCCTCCCGTTCAAAATCCCGTAATACCAGAACAACTATCCCTCTTCGTCGCGCCCGCCCTCGAAGCCTCGCAGTCCACCCCCCTCGACGCCGAGTACCTGCACTACGTCCACGCCGCCATCCCCTCCTACGCCGAAGACCTACTCGCACGCTGGGCAGGCCAAGCACCAGACACAACCTCACGCCTCGCAATCGAGCCCAGCTCCCCCCCCGCGCCTACCCTCACCCTCACAATCGACCCCGGACCACCCCTCTTCCCTCCCCCCCCGGCCTTCGCCCCCCAAGCCTCCCTCTCCCCCGTCTTCGTCCCCGCCGAACTAATCCACCTCTCCCGACGCACCTCCCGCCCACAATCCAATACCTCCTCGCGGCGCTCCCCCCCCGAGTCCCCATCCCCCCCCCGCCGCCCCTCGCACCAAGCCTCCGTCGAATCAGACGTAGACTCCGAGGCCGAGCGCCCCGCGCCCGCGTCCACCGGGTCCGCCATTCCCTCGCCTGAAGCCGCGGCCCGGCCGGCTCAACACCCGCCCCTGCAACGCTACCAAACCGCCCCTGTAGGCCCGGGCCCAGAGGCCGTGAAACTCTCCCCGCAGCAGGGACGCTACATCCCCCAACCCACATCACCCAATGAGGACGGGTTCCTCTCCGGCATCGGCAGCGGCTTCGGGTTCGGGTCACCGCCTGGAGGATACAGTACGCCGCCCGGCGGGTACGGCGCACCGCCCCTAGCGCGGCACGAGTCGATGTCCGGATCGCTGCCGCGGGGCGATGGTATACCGACCCCGACTTCGCCGTCGGAGCGCAGGCTGAGCGCCGGGCCGAAGGGGGGGCGGGTTTTGCCGCTGACGGGTCGGCAGGAGTCTGTTAATAGCCCGACGGCGCGGAGTGTGCCTGCGAGTCCGATGGCGGCGTCGCCGATGGGGGGGCCGGTGAGGGATCCAAGGAGGAGCGATTCGAATGTGAGTGGATTGTCGGTCGGACACGGACAGTCTTATCCCGGGTATGGACAGCCGGCACAGTTGAGCAGCAGTCCGCGGGAGGCCAGGCCTGGTCCGGTGATGAGCGGCAACCCGTGGGAAGGCAGTAGGCCGGGTCCGGCGATCAAGTACCGCATCGTGCACGGGGGGACGGTTTGGGATTTCGTGTCCGGGCGGCTGGTGTACACGAATGCGGGGCCGGGGGAGATGCCGAGCCATGCGGTGATGGATAGTCGGAGTACGGTCACTGAGCTCAGCGCTGAGTTCGCGAGTAGTCGGGCGCTGGACCGGTTTGATTATAAGTTTGATAAGGTGCGGAAGGAGGTTAATGTTGGGGGCCGGACGCAGTTGGTGCACTTTTATGTGGTTAGGGAGAGGGGGTTGGAGTGGAGTGAGGTTAGGGCGGTGTGGACGGAGAGGCAGAAGGAGGTTGCGAGGGAGAGGGAGAGGGTGGAAAGGGAGGGGAGGAGGGAGAGGGAGAGGAGGGATAGGAGTAGGGGAAGACGGGACGATGATTCTGATGATGGGGATGAGTCGGAGTGGGATATGGAGGCGGAGAGGGAGGCAAGGCGGAGGTCTGGCTCGGGGACCAAGAGGCGGAAGAGTGC